TTACATACCAAAAAAGCGATTATGGATATTATTCAAAATATTATATAAACAATGAATATTCAATATACACCAATCTAATCTATTAGCTTCGAATCTCGAGAGCGACTTATCTGTTCTCAGTATGATTATTAAATTGAATTTAGCTAAACATTTTGAACCATTACTATTACTCCTCCAATTTTTTTCCTAAGTTCTATACGCCTAACCCATAGTTACTTCTGAATAAAATTATGTGATAGAATATTTATTTTTAAATTCACCAATTGTGAAATTTAAAGTAAAGCAAAATGTCTTAAAAAACATGTGGATGCATGGATAAATGGATAAAATAATTAACGATCGTGATAGGTTATTAATTAATTTCCTCCTCCGGTTCTCGATACTAACGAAAAAAAAAAGGTTATTAATTAATATGCATAATATATTAATACCATATAGAAAAATTATACTTTATCATTTACAACGATATAACAATTAATATATCTAATAAGAGTTATTATTATAGATAAATATATATATTTATATAATATAAATCACTATAAAATTGATGTATTTAATCAAATACAAATTGTCTTCCATTTAAGAATCATAATTAAAAGTTGATTATTTATATTTATATAATAAAATACATTTTATTCAAATGTAGATGTAGCTTCATTATTTTTTTTTAAGATGAAACACTTGAACAATATACAGTTGGTCCAGTCGAATTATCTAAACAATAAAAACAGTTTGACTTAAGTAAGTTTAAGTTTTATTATTATATTCAATCTCTAATTAAGTAAAAACTATAACTTATTGTATTATGTATTATCTTCACACACAATGTTAATATTATTATGTTTTAGGACTCATGTTCGTCTATATACCAAATAAATATTAAATAAATAAATATGTATATGGATTTTAATAATGTAATCGATATTATTTATAATAATTATAATAATGCATTATATTTTTATTAGTTATAGCCTTATAGGTAATATACACATGTAGTACATATATTATAGTCTTATGGGCCATATTTATGTATTTTAACCAGTTTAATAATTATTACCATCTTTAAAAATTTTTAAAAATTTGGCCAAATAACCTGAAATAAATATATGCATTGACTACAATCAGTTTGTTATTTAGATACACAGCAATAAATATTAAGTATGAATAATTCTATTACAATCGTTTTAAAATTTATTTATCTTTTTTTATTGAAAAATATTTTAAACCATTCATCATAAAAGAACCTCTATATATTTTTTATATAATATAATTAGGGAACGGATTTTATTGTAATAAAAAAATCAAACTATGTACATAAATATGTAATTATTTTTATCAAAATATGTAAAAAAAAATTTTAAAAAGTATATCAAAAAAACGTATTAGTAGATATTGAAAATTACAAAAAAAATTATTTTATAAATGAAAGTAATACAAATGGTGTAGGTACATAAAACAAGCATTATTCTGGAACATTACAATGCGAAATAACATATTCTTGAAGATTTGCAAATGAAAAATTGCGCCGGTTTGGTCGTAGAATATTCTTATATTGACTACACGACCGTTCTACGTCAACAGATGTGATCGGGGCGTAATTCATGTTTACTATATCAGAAGGAGTGAATTAAATGTCCAGAGAGCCCTGTTGATTTTTACCAATTAAAATATCTCTGATAATTTTAATTGTTTGAAATCCAGAATTTTTTCCAATGATATCGGCAAATTTGTTTTTGACTATTTCTCCCATGTGCCCTTGAGTTTTTTCTAATTTATCTGCTGCTTTTTCTACAATGCTAATACTTCCTATCAAACACATATTTTTAGTTTCCAATTGTTTAATTTTCTGAATCAAAAAACAAAAATTTGCAGAAATGTATGTTAAGTTGTTTTTTAAATTGATATTTTGCATCAGTGCACTGATTCATCAAAATTCATGAATTTGCTTTTTCAATAGCTACAGCCGATTCAATATCGAAATTTAAAATAACATTTTTTATTTTGTCAAAATTATCGCAATAGTATTGGACGGCTTCAAGCCATGTACCCCATCTTGTTATAATAGGTTCAGGAGGTAAATTAAGATCTGGATACATTTCTTTAAATTTTGAAACACGACTTGGCGCTTTTAAGAATATTTTTTTAATGGTCGCTATTAATTGATCAACCTCGGAATAATTACATCTTATTGTTTCTGAGACACGATGAAAGCCATGTAGGTACTAAACAAGTCAAATGAACCAGTTTAGGGTAAAATGCTGTCAAAATACTACCGGCTTTAACCATATAAGGTGCAGCATCGGTCAAAAATAAAAATACGTTTTCATATTTTACACCATTTGGCCATAATAAGTTCATATAGAATCATTAAATAATTTAGCAATAGTTTTATTATTGCATTTTTCTAAATGCACACAATTTAAAAGAAATGATTTTGTAGGCTCAGAACATAGTGCCGATGATTACATTACCAATATACCTGCCCTCTGCATCTGTTGATTCATCAATTGAAACCCATATTGGTCTATCTTGAATAAACTGTGTAATTGATTTTAATGTCTCCTCGTAAATTATACTAACATAATTCTTTCGGATGGTACTTTCATCTGGAATTTGTTGTCCGGTATATTTCTCTAAAAAATCTGTGAATTCTCGATTTTTTAGTTTGAAAATAGGAATATCCGCGAGAATTAACATACGACACAAATCGGTATTAAAAGCTGACAAATTATTGGAAGACGTAGATAGCTCTGAATTTAGAAAATTTTGTTGACATTTTTTTTTACGATCTCTATTTTGTTGGTGCTTAGATGTAGATATATGCTGAGTACCTAACTGAAAAACGCTGATTTATTGATACTGCCTTTTCACAGCATGAACAGAATAATATTTCTCCATCACTTTTAAATGTCTCGTTAGGAAACTCTTTTAAATAAAAATTCGCTTTTGATTTCGATTTCACAACTTTTGGCATCTTAAAAATTAGAAACTAGACGTCAACTACTAGTATACACGAGATTTCGCGTAAAAACTACGAATGCTACTAAAAACGATTGTCGAGTATGTAAGTACCACTTCCTTATTTTATATTTATATCGTCCGGCATTACCAAGATCGACATTAACTGAACTAGTTCTAGTCTATATAGTGGCCTGCCACGTGCCGGAAATAAGTACGTAAATGCCATTAAGATAACGATAATATTTGGTGGTCGTCAAAAATTATTAATCTTGTTAATTTAGACGCAGCAGATAATGTTTAAAGTCGTTGAAAATTAAAAATCACTAAAATAAGTACTAAAATATGTACTTATTTACCAAATATGTAAAAATATGTATTTATACCAAAATATGTAAAAATATACGTTAAATAAATTTGGGTTTATTTTAATTAGAATGATCTAAACCGTATACATTTTTTATCAGATTTAAAATATCTCATTCTAATAAAAATATGTATTTATAATAAAATCCGTTCCCTAAATATAATAATTACTTACTGTCCCCTTCATCCATGCCTCTTTCGACTAAGCAATACAACAGTACAATATGAATGAGAAATGGGGGAAAAAATAGTAATTTAGTATTCAAATTTAAAATAATAAAATATCTTAGACACATTTTTTTACTAGCAAATACCATTGTTATTTTTATTGTTGTGCAATTGGGCATTTTTTTTTTTCTAATAATAAAACTAAAAACTAAAAATGTACCTATCTATCGTTCTATATCAATTCATGTTTTAAATATTTAATTATTCATAGTACAATTAATAAGTAATTAAAATTAAATTGTCAAAATAAACACAACATTTCCTTCATTTTTGTTAGTTCAAAAGTGAAAAAATTAATATTTATTTATTTTTAACTATTAACAGTTACATACAGTGTCGAGAAAACAGAAAATTTGATTAGTTTAATAATTAGTGTATTGGTATCTATTATAAGTTGATAACAAATATACCTTACTACAATTCAAAATATGCGTTTGTAATTGTATTTGATTAAAGAGGCTATACTTGGGTGAAGAATTATATGTATACCGTTAAAAATGTAGGTACATTATAAATCTACAGCACTCACATCTTTAGTTTTACACTTGTATAGTTATTTCATGTGTTGTATATTTGTTTACTAAAAAAAAAATGTTTGCATGTGTTTGAAGACGATAAAAAGCTACAAAAAACCTAGTAGAAAATATTCAGAGCCTCTCCAAAACAAATAGTTTTTAGCACAATTATTCCAACTATCCAAAGAAAAAAGCAAAAAAAAATTGTTCAACTATGTATATTGAAATCAGACACAATACATCATAATTCAAGTAAAAGTAATTCAATACAGGTAAATATCCAACGAACATCGATCAGATTAAAATTGCTCTTGAACTGCGCAGCGTCCTCAAGGGTTAAAGTGGGGGGGGACGCAGGAGGACTCAGCCCCCTTACCTCTGACGGCGGTTAAAAAGCGTCCCCTTTAACAAATTAGGATTTTATACATTAGACATTATACATAAAATTATATATGGAACGCTCAAAACTTTTTGGAAACATTAGTCCCCTCTGGAATTTTTTCCCACTTTATCCTCTGAGCGTCCTGCAAGAACACATTTGAACGACAGTATTTACTCAATAAGTGAGTGATTGCTAATCGAGTACTCTGAGAATATCATGTGCGTAGTACCTACAGGTGGAATTGTAAGTTTTTCCCTTTGAGTTAGCGGTTTACCAATAAAACTGGGCTGGCAAACAACATGTGCTCCCTCAATATTTCCTCGATTTTCAATCAGTGAATGTCACAAGCCAAAAAAGTCAACTAGAAGTAACGTGCTATGTCATTTATGTAGGGTCGGACCAGCCCTATGCAACTCGATGAGATTTACATATAATAATCCGTGCTCTTATTGGCGGGACAGGGAACTCATAAATACTACTACTGCCATCTATCAACGACATATGGTGATCTATAAATTTAATGTCAATGATATCTCATGTTATGATAAATCATAACTATTAAAATATAATACAACTTATGGGAATTATTTTTTTCTTAAAATTAGGCCTTTCAGCCTTTGTATGATTATAGGACGTGGACTAAAGTAGTAAATTCTATAACAACAAACAACTTTTGAGTTTTTATTTTATATATAATATAATAATAAATAATAATAATGAACACAATGACTTACATAATACATTTTGTTAAACATTTTGAATACTTAGTACTGGTAAGTGTAATATTAATTATATCTTTAATAATAGATATAATGTACGAATGTTTTGTGAAACTTAATGAAATTATTATGATTTACAAAATTTTGATAGTTTTTTCTTTTTTGCGTTTTCTTTTAGCTGTTCCTGGTTTGTTTGCCTAGTCCATTGACGCATTACGTCGACGAAGTAACTTAAGCTTTGTAAGTTTACTTGGTGTACATAGTAAATGAACACGTTTTACAACAGGTGTGTGTTTCATACGCAATTTTTTTCTTTGGCACCTAATCATGAATGCTATCTTACAAAATTTACATTGTTGAGTTATTTCACTATCATTTAATCTGTTAATAGTTAATTCTTCATTAACTATTAATGAACATCTCATGTGGTGAAATTGACCATTACTATCAGTACATAGTGTATTTGTTTTATATTTCAATGCTTCTGTTGGCATATTAACTCCTTCACACATTATAGCACTGTCCACCTTACAAATTATATCCTCT